ATTAGACACATTTCTAGCAGCAATGCTGGATATGGTCGATAGGTGGCGCACAAGCACGGGCTTTGTCCCGTTAGCGTTTTTATGTGCCAATATAATGATATATCTTCATTCTCTTTAATCATGTAACTATTCTACATTCCAACTCAAACTCTGTCTGCTACAGTGGCTTAGTGGTTAGTACTCAGCACTTGGGTCATGGGTTCTAATCCCAGTCATGGCCGCACCTGTCTGGAGTTTGCTTGCTTTTGCTGTACGAGTGTGTTTCTGCCAACACTCCAAAGACATGCTATTAGGTTAATTGGGCCTAGTATATGTCTGAGTTTCTGGCCTTAGATTGTAAGCTCCTTGACATTACAGACTATTGTGAATGGACAAAATATGGAAGTCAATTTCCAGTGTTCTGTCAGAGCCAGGAATATTGATCAATCAATTAAGATTTTGGCTAATGACTAGAAAGTGGAAAGGGAGTGAATCTTACCTGCTTCCTGTTCTGACAAGGTTGAAACTTTCAATTTTCCTTCTGTTTATATTTCATTGCAACTTTGTTTCTCTTCTCTTAAACCTCTCTCCTTATACAACTTGACCCCCCCTGTCTTCACCTGTTCCATCTATGTATCACCGCCCCACTATTTTTATTTAACTATTTATTTACTGATCAAGTTAATGCGTCTCATTTCCTATTACCTACAGCTCAGACCTCGCATTATTATATGATTCCTGATTATATCTCACCACTAGTCTGATTGAATTCACAATTCCTGCTTAGTCCCGTTCCCTTACCTATAATAATCTTTATGGTCAGTTCACACTACATGTGTTTCAGTAGCTTTTTTCTGCATCCAAAACACTCAGAAAGAAGGTTATATGGTTGTCAATGTCATAGTTCACATCACTCTTGCAGTTCCAGTGCGTTGCAGGTGCTGCCAAAAAAGTCAAACAGCCTGCATTGTTTATGCATAGAACTGTACTGGAACATGGTAAATTGTCCTGGAACGCACTAAAACGCACATGTCCCTAATTAAATTGCAGAAAATTCAGGGCCCCCCTGAGGTTGACAGAGTCGTTGAAATGCATAAAACACATTATACTCTCATATCTATGCTTGACCATGGCAGCAGAGTACACGTGCATATGATGAATCGGGTCTGTGGACCAATACAACTGCAATTTATTTTTTTTAGTAATGCCTATGTTGAGGGTTAGGTCCCGAAAAAAAAAATTTAAATTCAGAAACTGTAATGGGTTTCCATGTGAATTGTCTGCAAAGGTTAGAATTTGGGTTGGCGGCAATTAATTGTTGTGCATATAAATTGCTTTGATCCACAATCAACGCATACAGATCTTCCATGAAAAACAGCTCCAAAAAATCAAGGGGAGTAGTTAAATTTGCTGTTTCCACCTGAATTTGGGGTTGGACAGTGAATGGGGGAAGTACAGGTGCTGCAGAATTTGTGGGCTTCCAATCAGGATATGCAAGCACATCTGCAAGGATACTAAGGGCTCTACGGGCCTGTGCGCAAATTCTTGGTGGTTGCAGAACAATATTTGTGCTCGCCACCGCACCAGCTTGTACTGCACTGGGACTCACCACGTCACAAAGTAATACTATAGTGCTGGTATGTGAAAGACCAGGATGTACTAGGCCGTTGGTGCTCGCCAGTTCCCCAAAAGGTAGAGTGCCACTAGTTCCGGCACTCTGCTGCATGTGAGAGTCATCAAAATGTACCGGCAAGTGCTAGCAGAGATCAGGCCTGATCCTGCGAACACTGCGGTTTTGTGTGAAATGCATCAAGTGATAGTGACCTACTGACACTGCACTTGCTGGGGATAAGGGGGGGGGGTAAGTGTAGGGGCTAAACACAGGTGCTGGCAGGTGCTGGGGCTGATCCTGCTAATGCTGTTTTTGGGAACACTATACTAATGTGAACGCTGGTACAGTTCTGCTTTCATAAAAGATATTGATCCGTTCAGACACTATGCTAGCAATGGAGGTTTATTGTGCATAAGCGTGTTCCTGGCAGTCAAGGAGTTAAATGTGATTACTGGTGTACTGACGGACAATCTGACCGTATCTGGGAGGGACGTGAAATCCACTGGAGTGCGAATCAGGTATATATACATGATTTTGCACACTTGTGATGTCCTGTAGCAGTATTTCTGCTATAGGGTGGACAGGAAGCAGTTAAAGGAACGGTTTGAGTTACGGCACTGAGTTACTTTAACTGACAATTGCATGGTCATGCAGCGCTGCTCCCAAATGAAATTTATGTCCTTTTTTTCCACGAGTTGAGCTTTCTTTCGGTGGTATTTGATAGCCTGTGTGTTTTTTTTATTTTTTTGAGCTATAAAAAGAAAGACCGACAATTTTGAGAAAAAAAAACTATATTTTGGACTTTTTGCTATAAAACATGTCCAGTAAAAAATGTAAAAAATCAAATTTCGTCATAAATTTAGGCCAAAATGTATTCTGCGATATGTCTTTGCTAAAAAAAATCCCAATATGTGAAAATTACCTGGTTTACGTGAAAGTTATAGCGTTTACAAATGACGGTATAGATACTGGGATTTTTGTTTTTATATTAATATTGGCGGCGATCAGCGGCTTATAGCAGGACTGCAGCAGGCATTCTGACATTGGAGGTAATTGACTTGGTGTCACTGACATCCCCAGTGACACCATTACAGTGATCGATGCTAAAAAAAAGCACTGACACTGTACTAATGGTACTGGGGAGGAAGGGGTTAACATTTGGGGGCAATCAAAGGGTTAACAGTGTGATGGGAGTGTTTTACTAGGGGACGGGGGGGGGGGCTTCACTGTAAAGCACACTGACCGGGATGGCTGTGCTTTTAATTCATTAAAGTGTATTAAAAAAAATTCAATTTATAGCTGGTTACATCAGCTCAAAGTTTAGCCCAGCCCCAAGGGATCTAAGGGAATGTTGATGTCTATTTGGAGCTATAAACTTGGTGGGCTTCCTTTCAACCTTCATACTTCAGCCATTCATTTTTCACATATGCCTATTGCCTTAATTGGGGCTTGGCTGAACTTTGAGCTGATCTAACCAGCCATAAATTCTAATTAAGTGGCATCTCTCCCCACACCATAGAGATGGTCTATACAGCCTGGTCTAGATAGTCCAGCAATCTAATGTAATAGTCATTGGTGTCCTTTGTGCTCTAGCGGTCTGAACCCTACCCATAAGGTGTGGGATCTTTGACCCTCCTGGTGAATATTGCCTATTTTAAGGTTGGTCAACCTAACCACCTTGCCATTATCCCCTAAGGAAGATTTATACTAAGAATTAAAACACGTCGGGGTTGACATATGTTTATATGTATTCATATGCCTCTTGGTGGTTGTAGAAATTGTGTTATGGACCAAAATTGTGTGTAAAAATTTTACAAATTTTTTAAATTTGTGTCTTTTTTTTGCTACTGGTGCCTTTTAAAGTCCCATTTTATTTGCTCTCTTTTGTCTGTTAAACCTATGGATTTAACTGTCAATTTAAACATCTTCTCCAAGTCACTACTGCAGCTAAACAGACAATAGCTAAGACGCGGAAATCCCCTACTTTGGGTGTTCTTGCAACCAAACATAGAATTACACAGGCAATGATCCATGCTAAAATAGAGGAAGTATTGGTATGAAAAATTCTGAAGCCCCTGGGTATCCAACTATTTATCCCCAAACTTCAATGAATCCTTCTTACTCCCTTAGTCAGTTTAGTGAATGCTCAGTAAGATTAGTTACTTTACCTATTTAACAGAGGTTCCATCTGTCTATCCCATATAGTGTTCTTAATATTCATATGCTGTAAACATTACCCCCCACATAGTATCTTTACTCATCTGTGGCAATAATACTGTTCTTAAGGCCTACTCATTTCTAGTGAAGGGCCGAACATCCCGTGTTTGGTTTGCAGTTAACCGCTCGTGTGAATTTCGACCTTAATGCAAGTCTATGGGACTCGAACTTTTAAATTCTAAACTACCCATTTTGAAAGCTTATGCAAGCTATTGGCCATAAAAGGGGTATGTGGACTTGGGTACTGCCCTGAGGGACATGAATCAGTGAAAAGAAAAAATTTCAAAAAGTACAGTTGTTAAAGGGGGGTAATTATTTTTCAATGCTTAAAGTAAAAAAACAAAACAAAAAAAAAAACAGCATGGGGCTCCCACCCAATCCATAACAGACCCTTTAGGTCTGGTAGGAAGGTTAGGAGGGACCCCACAGTAATTTGTTTCTCTTAAAGTGCGTGAGGTTCCCTCTAAAAGCCATACCAGGCCCTTTAGGCCAGGTAGGACTTTTAAGGGGAAACCCACACCCAAAAATGGGGTGAAAAAAGCGTGGGCCCACCCCCCTAAATTCCTACCAGTCCCTTGATCCGAGCACAAGCCTGGCAAGACAGGAAAAGGGGGGGGGGGAATATTCGAGCGCCCCCCCCCTCTATGGCTTAAAAATTGGTTCCACCGTTGTAATCCATCATTAAATAAAAAACCCGATATCCGCCGAGCACTCACTGCAATATGCCGGTAGGATGTAAACATGCCTATCAGTGAAGGAGAAAAATGATCTGTTTGCAAAATTTGATAATAGAAACAAAGAAAAACTTTTTTTTCTAAATTTTTGGCTCTTTTTTTATAGTGCAAAAAATAAAAGCAACCAGTGGTGATTAAATACCACCAAAAGAAAGCTCTATTTGTGTGAAAAAAATTATAAAAATGGCATGAGTACAGTGTTGCATGACCGCGCAATTGTCATTCAAGACAGCGCTGAAAAGCTGAAAATTGGTCTGGGCACGAAGTGGGGTAAAAGTGCCCGGTAAGCAAGTGATTAACCACTTGCCCTCTAGAGGATTTACCCCCCTTAATGACAAGGCCTCTTTTTGCTACTCAGTGCTGCACTAATTCAACTGATAATACGCGGTCATGCAATCCTGTACCCAAACGAAACTTACGTCCTTTTTTTTTCACACAAACAGAGCTTTCTTTCGGAGGTATTTGATCACCTGTGCACTTTTTATTTTTCGCGCTATAAACAAAAAAGACCGATAATATTGAAGAAAAATTGTATTTTTTTACTATCGGCTATAAAAAATATATACTAAACTCAAAGTTAGTTATAAATGCATTCTGCTACATGTTTTTGGTAAAAAAAAATTGTATGAAATTGTAAAAAGTGTATATTGATTGCTTTGTGTGACCGTTATAGCGTCTACAAACTATTGTATAGATACTGCAGTTTACGCCATCTTTTTGCTCTACAGCGCTGCACTAGTTTAACTGACAATTGTGTGGTCACGCAACATGGTACATAAATGAAATTTATGTCCTTTTTTCACACAAATATAGCTTTCTTTTGGTAGTATTTGATCACCTGTGCGCTCTTTATTTTTGGTGCTATAAACAAAATAAGTTTTGAGAAAAATAAATGTTTTTTTTTTAAAAAAAAAACAATATTTTCTCATTTCTGTCATAAAAAATATCCAAAAAAACTAAAATTTTGTCATACATTTAGGCCAAAATTTATTCTGCTACATGTTTTTTTGGTTAAAAAAAAATCCCAATAAGTGTATATTGATTGCTTTGTGTGAAAGTTATAGCATCTACAAACTATGGTATAGATAATAGAATTTACACCTGTCAGGGCTCCGGGAATGACCAGAGGTGTGTGGACCGACACAGGGAAACACAGACTTCAGGTATAGCGTGTAAATAAGATAATTTATTAAGGACAACACAAACATAAACACAGTGCAACAAACCAAACCCAAAACTAACACAAATACAACAAGGTGAAACAAACCCAAACCTAAACTGAAATATATATATATATATGTATATATATATGGAGCACAATGTAGTCAGGCGGGCCGGGTCGGTAGCTAATTGGCAAACAGGGTACCAGAAGCGAGCGGAAGAGTGGTCAGGAATAGCCGAGGTCAGGACAGGCGGAGTTCGTTCAGAGTCAGGATCAAGGCAGGAAGCAGACAGGATGCAGGTACAGGGGCTCATGGGAAACATACCCCAGGCACTGACTGCAAGCCTGGCCACTCCTTAAATACACCTCCTGCAATCAGCCTCAGGTGATGACTTGATTGCAGGAGTGAGCTTCTGGCTGCTGAGAGCACCCGCTGGCCAGCCCTGGTACTGCAGCCCACATGGCAGGTAAGTCCCACCACCAGTTGTGAGTCCATTCCTGACAACACCGCTTTTCCTTTCTGACTACTCATCACATTTATTGAGGTGCTAAAATACCAGGATAGTACAAACACCCCCAAATGACCCCTTTTCGGAAAGTAGACACCCTAAACTATCTGCTGAGAGGCATATTGAGTTCATGGAAGATTTATTTTTTTTCCACAAGTATCTGAAAAATGTCAAAAACTTTTTTTTTTTTACACAAAGTTGTCATTTGAATGATATATTTCTCGCACAAGCCATGGGTATATGTGGAATTACACCCTAAAATACATTCTGATACTTCTACCGAGTATGGGGATACCACATCTGTGAGACTTTTGGGAGAGTAGCCACATACAGGAGCCTGAAATCCAATGACCACTCTGCGTAACTTCCTAATTTCACTTCTTCACTACCTATCACAGTTTTGAAGAACCTGAAATGCCAGGATAGCACCAACACCCCCCAAATGACCCTTTTTTTGGAAAGTAGACACCCCAAGGAATTTAAAAAGAGGCATGATGAGTATTTTGCAGATTTCATTTGATAGGTAGTCAGGAAGTGTAATGAGGAAATAAAAGCCCTTTAAAAGCTTAAAGGTGCTTATTGGATTTTGGAGTCCTGTACTTCGCTAGACTGCCAAAACATCTCTCACACGTGGTACCCCCATACTTGGGAGAAGTAGCTGAATGTATTTTGGGGAGTAATTCCACATATACCCATGGCATGTGCGAGCAATAAATTAATTTTGTGTCAAAAAAAAAATTTTTTTGTCTGTCATTTTTCAAAAACTTGTAAAAAAATTAAATTCTTCTATTGATTCAACATGGCTCTCAACAGACAATTTGGGGTGTCTACTTTCAAAAAAGGGGTTATTTTGGGGGGTAATTTTATGCCCAGCATTAGAAGTTTATGCCACACATCATTCACTCTTCTAACCACCTGAAGACCAAGCCTTTCTGACACTTTTTGTTCACATGAAAAAAAATCTGTATTTTTTGCTATGAAATTAATTTAAACCCCCAAACATTATATATTTTTTTTTAAAGCAAACACCCTAGTGAATAAAATGGTGGGTGCTTTAATTTTGTATGTCACATAGTACTTGTGCATATTTAAAAAAATGCACTTTTTTTACTTTTAATGCACAAAAACACAATATATTGGCCAATTATTTGGTAAAATATAAAAGATGATGGTATGCCGAATAAATAGATACGAAACATGACATGCTTTAAAACTGCGCATGCCCCGTGCAATGGCGACAAACTGCATACATTTTTAATATCCATAGGCAATGTTTTAAAAGCCTTTACAAGCTACCATTTTAGATTTACAGAGGAGGTCTAGTGTTAGAATTACTTCCCTTGATCTGACGTTCGTGGTGATACCTCACATGCATGGTGCAACTGCTATTTCCATACTGAGTCAACGCTCACGAACGCAGGTGCGCACGTGTGTGGGGAGGCGAGGGTACTTTTTTTTAAGTTATTTTGATTTTTTAATTATTTTTACACTATCCCTTTAATTTTTTTTTTTTTATGCTATCACAGGGAATGCAAATATCCCCTATAACTTCAATGGGCATTGTCATATATTCTTTTTTGAGAAATCTGGGATCTATCAGGCTCTAGATATCTCCTCTGCCCTTACATTATCTAATCTCACCAAGATTGGTGTGATCAGATGCTTTCCCAATTTACAAATGGCGCTGTTTATATGCTGCAAAACTGAAGTGATGAAATGCTCGTAGCTTCTGATTTCTTAGGCTATAGAGATGATTGGCACCATTCTGGTCTCCAATTAGCTCTATGGTCAGCTGGCAGAAACACTGGCTGCATTCTCAGATTCCCCCGATGGCACGGGACTGCCTGAGAAGGCCGTGGAAGGCAGCGAGGGAGGGGGGACATTGTCTCCCGCTGCTTGTAAAAGCAATCCTGCAGCTAATTAGCCACTAGGATTGCTTTTACATGAAAGCCAATCGCTAGCTGAAAAAAAATTATACCAAGATGATGCCTGCAGCTGTAGGCATCATCCTGGTATAAACAAAGTCCAGTGATGTACCAGTACGTCGCTGGTCTTTGTTGGGTATACTGTATATGCTATGTTCTATTTTTTTTTGTATGCAGCCTTTGGACTGAATGAAAAAAAGAGAAGAAATCTCTGCCAGAAAACGTGTGTGGTATGCCCACCATTAGAATATAGCGCCCTGCATCCACCCACTTCTAATGGTGGGAACACATTAGGTCATACTTTGCCACATGCACCAGTTCCAAGATTGTACAAATGTCTAAATAGTGGCACGCTTGATTAACAATTGTCCACGTATAAGTGGTACCCCATATGGAAAAAGGATGACACCAAGTCCCAAACTATCTTGCCACTGCTCCCCATGTAGTCTGGGCATCCAGGGGCTCCACGTGACTATCTTTTCCCTCGTAAATCCGAAATTTTTAAGTATAGCATGGTGCCCTCTCACAGGTCTTCTACATCTTGACCCCGTATCTGGCATGCTTGCTAGGGAGAAATTGTTTGAAAAATTAATGAGGGACTCATCAACGCAGATTTTGTTTTACTTTTTATTTCATACTTATACAAACAACATTAAAAAATTCCACCTTCCAAAATATCCTTTTTTCTTTTCTCCCCTAAATGAATAAATACATTCTATAACCCCTCCATCTCCCACCCCCCCCCCCCATCCCCCCATCATTGTCTTATCTTCTTCTATCTGTATCCATTTCTCCATAACGTGTTATTCCAACTAATCTCATCGTGATTTCTTAGGCTACCTCCTTTACTTTAATTAGTTCTGTATAAGATTCTGCGGTTTTAAAATTTAACCAAACACACCATATTCTTTTAACTATTCCCATCTTTTCCTCTTTTAAACTTCTCAGTCCTTCCATTCTGAAAATGCCTTCCACTCTATCTATCCAATTCACCACCCTCGGAACCTCTGCCACTAACCAAAATTTTGGTATCAAACCCTTTGCTGCACTGATTAAATGGTACAATACTTTATTCCTATTTACTTCCGCCATGGGCTCAGAATAGTAGAATAAGCATTTCAGTGGGTCCCCTTGAATATCTACCCCACATATTTCCTTGATATAATACGCTATTTCCCTCCAATAAACCTGTATCCTCGGGCAACTCCACCAGATGTGCTCCATATTGCCCTTTCCATATCCTCTCCAGCACAATGGGGAGCTTTCCCCTTGCTGCTTATGGGTTATACTGGGTTTTAAATACCATCTCGCCAAGCATCTGTAGCTCATCTCTACTGTGCGCATGTTTATTACCTTGTGTGTTAGGTTACAGGGGGCTCTACATCATCTAAGTCCACAAGGATTTTATATATCCTAGAGGTGATGTGTTTTGGGCTTAATTCAGCATTCATTAGTTTTTAATACTTCTTTATATTCGGTAACCCCAGTCCTCCATTTGCTTTTACTCTGCATAACACTTTATAACAAATCCTAGGCCTCTTATTTGCCCATATGAACTTAGTAATCATTCTAATTATTACAAAGAAAGTTCCCGGTAAAGATATTGGGAGCATCTGAAACTTATACAGAATTTTTGGGAGTATCACCATCTTGACTAAATTAATTCTTCCAATCCACGAGGCCCCCCATTTTACTAGTCTTTTCAGCTCGTCTTTTATTTCATTTATCAGGGGAATATAGTTTATTTGGTATATGCTTTTTACCGAAGTCGTTAATTTTATTATAAGATATCCTATTTCGTTTTTACTCCAGGAAAAAGGGAACACATTTTGTAATCTTTGCTTTTCTGTGACTGCAAGTAGATATTTAGGATTTCCAATTTAACCAGGTTTATCTTCAAGTTTGATACTCCT